GACTTGGGACAAGTGACTTCTGAAGACTTGGGACATGCGACTTCTCAAGACTTGTTAATTACGACTTTTCGCAACTTGGGACTTGCGACTTTTCGCGAATTGGAACTTGCGACTTTTCATAACTTGGGTCTTGCGCCTTTTCGCTACTTGGGAATTGCGGTTTTCGCTAATTGGGACTTGCGACTTTTCGCGACTTGCGTCTTCTCACGACTTGGGACATGCGACTTTTCGCAACTTGGGGCTTGCCACTTTTCGCGACTTGAGACTTGCAACTTTTCACTACTTTGGAAAAATTTTGAATTTTTCAAAAAGAATTTCAAATTTTTCACTTTTTTGGTTTTTTGCGCTTTTCAGACAATTTCCAGCATTTTTTGATTTTTCCAAAATTTTCAAATGGTTCAAAAAAAATTCAAAATTTTCCCCACCTGTTGCCTTGAAGACCTGGTTGCTGTCGGACTGTTTCTGATGTACTGTCTCGGACGATCGTGGTTTGTGCCTCACAACGGTCCCTGACGTGCCGTCTCTTATAAACCCAGTTGCGGCAGGCACCACGTATGGCAGAGACCGGTACTGGAAGAGAACCGTTTGTTCACACACCGAGTCCTGCAGATTCCGGTTGCTGCAGATAGCAACCAGGTGAAAGAGAGTCCGAGTCCGGCAGATACAGGATGAGGCATTCACCGAGGCTGGCATGCATCTCTTGGGGAGAGTTTTGAAAATTTTTTGAAAATTTTCGAAAAATCAAAAAATGCAGGAAATTGTCCTAAAAGCGCACAAAACCAAAAAATTTGAATTTTTTTTTTGAAGGTTTAATTGTTTAAAAAAAATTGTTTTGTGCGCTTTTGGACAATTTCCAGCATTTGTTGATTTTTCGAAAATTTTCAAATTTTTCAAAATTGATTTCAAAATTCTGCCCACCTGATGCCTTGCAGACCTGGTCTCTGTCGGACTGTTTCTGATGTACTGTGTCCCTGACTAACGCGGTCTGTGCGTATCTGGATCTCTGCACGAACTGGACTCTTAATGACGGTCTCTGACGTGCCGTATGCATAGTACGGGTGCGGTAGTCAACACGTAAGGCAGAGACCGAGACCATGAGATACAGTGTCTGAGATCGAGAGAGGCAGAAACACGGTCTATCAGAGACCGAGTCCTGCCGAGGCAGTCAGGTAGCAACCGGGTGAGGTAGACGACGAGACCGGCAAGAGACAGGCTGAGGCATACACCGAGTCTGACAGATATCACTTGGGGAGAGTTTTGGAAAAAAATTGAAATTTTTCAAAATTTTCGAAAAATCAAAATATGCTGGAAATTGCCTAAAAAGTGCACAAAACCAAGAAGTTTGGAAATATTTGAAAATTATTTTGATTGTGAAATTTTTCAGATATTTTTATGTGCGCTTTTTGGACAGTTTCCAGCATTTTTTCATTTTTTGAAAATTTTCAAAGTTTTAAAACACAGGCACAGACAGACTGAAATTGACAGGTCTTTCATGAAGTACAACTAACAATCTTTGCCCCTGCCAGAACTCAAAACTTGTCACTCAACCCATAGCCCAATCGTTATACTGACCATCCTAGTTCCTCATATTCAATTAATACATTTGACATCACAATATAAGTCTACCTTTATTAACACAGCCATAAGACTGTACAACACATTGAAATAAATGGCACTAATCTCATACATATCTTGAAAATATTACCTACATAATACAATGTAATAAAATCTGAAGGCACTTGCATATAAAAGGATTTGCCTGGACAGAGCAGTATATAATATACATGGATTGTCTGTTTTCTGCTCTGTACATCTCAACAGTTTCAATAATTGCACGGTCTTCTTCTAGTAACATAATACATGTCTCTCAAACACAATAAATCACACAACACAAGTACCACCAAGAGTTTTTCGAAAGTGTGACAGCCACAAAATTTGCTTATGAACTTACATTTAAACCTATCTTTCAGGAAGGTGTTAAATGCTAGTGAATTCTTTATGGTAGAAGAACAACACTTTTAAAAATAATTGTAATTTTTGGTATTAATATTTGGTATAATTCCTTTTTTCAATTTTTTTTGCGTCTTAATTTTTTTCCAACAATCTTTTGGAGGAGGGGGGGGGGACAATAACTTTAGATTGGTAAACATATGTCTTTTAGTCTGTTACCAGGCTGAGTTCTCCAAGAAAATTTGTGTTTAAAAGACAAAAAATGCCCGGTAAAACTAGAACACCAAAACTGAGGGACTAGTTGTAAAATTGTAATTGTAAGCAATAAAATTCATAGTACTGATGTTTAAAGAGTGTAGTTTCTTTCTTATAATCTTGAAATATTTAAGAAATAATTTATGTAAATTTGCATTGCTAGTACATTACTTTTTGCAGTAAAAGTTCCATTGTGGTTTGCTATATGAATTCACTTTCACTCTTCTGCAGCCACACTCTTTTCACATCAGATCTTCAAATTCCCATACCATATATTGCATACCATAGGCACAGTGAAAGCCAAAAAAGTACCCCACAACTCTGATGCAAAGACTGTAATTTGTCATTTAAATATAGCTGCCAGGTCATATAGTGTGCAATTATGGTTAAGAGCTACATTTGAAATTGTAGATCAATTCTTTGGTTGTAAATTGTGCAGTCCTCAATATGTTTTAGATATTTTCTTCAATTACAACATGAAGACAACAAAGTTCAATCACTGTTAAAATTATTAAGGTCACATTTAACTGGTTATAGCAACTGTCTCATTATATGCACTGAAGGTTTCATAACCTCAGACACTGTTTCTGGAAGATGACTATGATAACATAAATACTGATGGAAGAAAATTCTGTTTATTTCAATAATCTTGTAATTTAAAATTGTGATAATTCTATCATTTAACAAACTGCTTTAATCACAATTATCAGTCTTCCTTACAAACATGTTTCAGCCCTATTTGCCATCATCATCTGACCACCAGTGGTATAACATTTAGTTCCCTCTTCTAGCACTGACAGTCAGACACCGATGATTGGACTGTTGATCTATAAGAGTTAAAATGTGTTTGTCAGGAAGAGTGACAAATGTAATTAAAAGCATCTGGTCAAAATATAATAAGAATTTAATTAATATACAGGTAAGCTCCGATTTACGCTGGGGTTACGTTCAACCTCCTTAGGGTCGTTAGCTGAAGCGCCGCAAATCGAGGAAGAATTATAATGTATTGTACTGGCAGACGAGGTGAAAGCAACTGACGCTGACACTAGCGCCGCCTAGGTACCCATTTCCTGTACTGCGTTTATGCTTGTATTTTCAAATTTTCTTATTATATTTGCTTTTTTCATTATTATTTTAAAAGGTCGTAGGTGAAAGCAACTGACGCTGACACTAGCGCCGCCTAGGTACCCATTTCCTGTACTGCGTTTATGCTTGTATTTTCAAATTTTCTTATTATATTTGCTTTTTTCATTATTATTTTAAAAGGTCGTTAATGTGCAACAGCATAAAATGAAGCGTCATAAATCGGGGCCTTCCTGTTCTTTTATTCATTTTAAAATTGTTCTTTCTTATCTTACCACCAATCACAAACAACCTTCTACTACAAGATATGTCATTTAATTAATTAAAGTTTAAATATTTTGGTTTGCTCGCAAGGAACTGTGTTGTTCTGCATCCCAGTAACAAGCTGAACTGTGCATCACAATCTCCTTGCTGCATCAAACACAGAAGCATTACCATCAAGTACTCATCTACATTTGCAAAGGTGGTCCAAGTAAAATTTCCACTAGCCTCAAAATACCTAGTCCTTAGTATCCAATTTAAATAAAATTATCTGTAAAAATGCAATGCAATTAAATATGAAGAATCAGGACAGCTATGCAAAGGTTTGGAAAAACTGTAAGAAATTTTGGTTACTGCTCATACAAATAATATGATATATTGAAGCCATGTGTAATATAGTAACAGGAACACATGCATGCATACACATGTAAACAGACAAATGCATAAATTTGTGCCCTGAAATTTGAGTGATTTACTTTGTTATGTTATAGTAAACAGATTATAAAATTAACAATAAAATTGCAGAATATTTGTTAAAGATGCTTACTGCTTTACAGTTTAAATAATGGTTGTGACATCTGCCATGGACTATCCCTTATTTCAGTGTCTTGCCCTCTTTTCTCAGGAAGGTCTGTCAGGACATATAAATTGCCACATATTTCAGTTTAACTGATGCATTAGCTCTTGAAAAGTAATAAATCATTCGTGTTTATGACAACTGCTTTGGGATACGAGCATGTAAAGAATTTTGGTCAGACACTTCCTGGAAAGCTGTCACTTGAAGAACCAAAAAGGAGGTGCTGGAGCATTCAATATTTGGATATTTGGGTATTTACGAGCCTCTTAGTTCCTGCTGCCCTCAAAACAAATTGCCCACTATTTTAGAATTCAAAATCTGGCATCCCGTGTATGAGATGAAAACTAAGATGAGAACATTTCAGAGTTATCACCAAAGGAAATTTAAATATTGCAAAGAACAATAATCAAAACCCTCTTATGTAATGGTATGACTTATAAACCATTCAAAATGAACTGGACATGATACTCCAAAAACACGTGACTTAATTTAAATTGTGTTGTTTTTTAAACAAAAATTTCTATACTTTTGCATGCTATACTGCCAATTTTTTTATGTCTGTGGGCATCAATTAATACAAGGTACATTATTTCATTTACATGTATATTTTTAAACCAAAATACATTGTCTGCAACTGAACAGTGCTCTTGTAAAAATGCATCTATCAGTGGGCTAAAGTTGCCAATTATGTGTATTATATATATGTGGGTCTCCATTCCTTTCCTTTTTTTATCAATAAGAATTTAAGAAACAATGACAAGACTTACAGAGCTTGCAGGCTGATTATGACTAATGACACATAACAGGAGCGGGTCAATGTGTGTGTTATATCTGTTCCTTAACCATCCAGTAACCTTGAACCCCGTTCTACCTCATTAATATGCACAGCTACCAGTTGATGTTTTCAATGGGCCAGATATGATGGATTCACTTGCAAGGGTATATGTGGGTGTACCAGTTCAGCCACTTCATGCAAATGTTAGGAGAATACCTCAAAATAGAACATAATCTTCATTCACAATTATCCATCATTTTGATGCTACATAACATGCGCTGTAGAAAGAAGAAGCATAGAAATAGTGTGATAACTGCACATGTCAATAAGATCTTTTCTTAGCACATGTAATTCACAGCTACAAACATACAGAATGTTTCAATCTCACTGATTTTGATACCGAGTTCATACCAGTGTGGTGTGCATGTGGATTCAGCCATATCTGTATGTGGGGTGGAGAAACTCACCCGAGTGACATAACCTGCATGTAGGAGGGTGGGATGACCCACCAGTGTGCCACTCCACAACACAAAAGTTAAAGTGATCCACCCATGAGTCACACAACCTGTAGACTAAAGATGGACTCACCAATGAGTAACTACAATGGACAGAGTGCCTTACCAGTGTGACGCACAGCCTGCAGACCTAGTGCAGCAGCAATACACCAGTGCGTCATTCTACAGCTGGACATTGGAAGGAGCAGCTCACCGGCAGATGATGACGGGTCTCCTACACAGTGACGCTCTACGTCACATAGGAACACAGCTTTGAGGTAGCGACATAACGTCAGTCCTTCTTCCTTTTCATAGAAACAGACGCTGGGGGCATCTCATCGTCTTCATTACAGAACTGATCAGGGGCAGACCAGCGTCGCTTACGGGGGTTCCCTGCCCTTTTTGTGCTCTTAGTCCGCGGTGTCAGGGATACACACACATCACCCACTTGCAGACGATGACACCTGAGTCCGTAACACTGAAGTGTTCGCTCCGGGTAGCAGGAAGCCCATCCTTGGTTGATGACAAAGAACGGGTGTTCCAGGGCTGATTCGAACTCAACCTGCAGCATCAGGATGGCAGGTCACATGCAAATAAGAAAAGGAATAAAAAAAATATTATACGTCAAAGATAAGCAAAACAGACACATAGGTAGGAAAACCTGGAGGACAAAGAGAAGGAGGAGAACAAAATGAACAAAAACGAAAATATGAGGAAGAAAGTGAAGGAAAAAGAGAATGTGATTCATCATAAATACAGGAAAAAGGATAGAGATAGTACTTTTAAAACAGTTCAAGGTCCAATTCACTCAGCATAATTATACGTTACTTATTTCTCAAGCTGATGCAAGTGTTACACACTGGGGTGTTTCATGTTACATGCTTAACTTCTCAGTCTCAGCAATAACGCGAGATGCATGTTGTCAGACCAAGGTAATCCAACGGTGGTGAGCATTATACCGTGTTATAACAGATTTCCGTCTTCACATTATGGGTCACACTGGTTTCCAAATGGGAGCAAGTGTCCTTTTTGCAACACAACGCGAAGATTCAACATGGCTAAGGTCAAAGTCTGTCTTTGGGTGTGATCCTAAGCCAGTTCTATCTTCACATTCATCTTAAAATAAACTGTACCAAAATAATAAAACTGCTTTTTATGCATAAATGTTGGGTAATTGTGGAAGAAAAGTGGAGACAAGTAATAAGTCTAAGCTAAATAATGAAACACCAAAGCAATTATAGATGAACAGTAACAGCAGGCTAGATTATAATTCACAATTAACATACAGAGGAACATATTTATGATCAGTTGAATTTGTATTCCGACATACACCCCTACAGACAAAAAAATAGAACAAGTATTTCTGGCACGTTGCGGTCTCTACACTGGGGATGACTGGCAATGCTGATAACACTGTGACACTGTGCCCTTCGAAGTTGATTAACAGGTTCCATTTCTGAGCCTGAGAACCAAGTATCCTGACAATACTCTTTTGCTTGTGCTTTGTGCTTTAAGCAGTCCACGGCGGCTTCACTCTAAAGACCGACATTCAAGGCCATACAACTCATCTCACTCGATGCTATGTAAATTTTGTAATTAATTCTGCTTCGTTAAATAGCATACAAAACCAATGATCATACAATAAATGTATGTTAAGATTTCAGAATCTCAAGGCAGTGATTACGAAGATGGCTGTCAACTGGGTTGTAGCGGTGTGTAGTCTGGTAGAAGTTTACCACCGTTTCAGAGGTCTTTGCTGCCTCCAGCATCGGGGCAGTAGACGATGAAGGCAGCAAGGACTTCTGAAACGGTGGTAAACTTCTACCAGACTACACACCGCTACAACCCAGAAGACAGCCATCTTCCAAGTAAATGCACGAATGGTGTCTGTCCCCAAGCACCATAAAGGTACTTGATGCATGGAGGTGAAGCTCCATCTGTTTCTATTATATGAAAAGCTTACGTTTTGCACAGTTGCAAAGTACAGGAGCCATTTTAATATGCGTCCAACATGGAAGTGAATCAGCACGGAAATAGCACAAAATGGAGGCACACGTGGCTGGCTCCTATAGTTAAAAATAGAAATACGTTTATTCAGGACACGATTCATAAAGCAGAGCTGCCAACACACTTGGCCGCTCACCAATACACTACGAGACATAAATAGCCTCAAATACTACAACGGCGGGGAGAATCAATTTGGCCGTGTGCAGGTTACAAGTTCACTGACTGCCGCTCGGGACATATCTTCCCTGGGTTCACATGTTCAGCTTCTGCATAAAACTGAGAGGAGCTGTCTGTGAACAAGAGATTTACTAAGAAATTACTAAAGAAAACGTAAGTCACATAATTCATATTTCTGCTCACCTTGAACTGTTCGGATGTTTAAATCAAGAAAGAAGGTGCGCTTACGTGAAAATACGATTTAATGGCTGGCTTTTGTGATCACAATGGTCACAATGATCACATAAAACCAACAATCTACTGTATATAACTAATTCCACAGTATATTGTCTTTCTTGAACAGCTGATAAGCGTTAAGCTGAACAATAAATTTACAAATCTTGAAGCTCTCACGCCGAATGACTGCAGGACAATCATCCTGGGTTACCATTCGCGTCAAAGTTGGGTTAAAATCAGACGTTTTCGGAGAAATACTGTCTCCAACATATTATTATGGAGGTTTCAGAGTGGGCGGAGGGGAAAATAAACGAGAATGTTAACTGAATAAATGTGTTTAATTTTGTAAGATACATCTTATAACTGTTCAAAAGATCCGTCACGATTTTCAATTGCACAGCTTTGTTCGTTCCAAACGAGAGTTTACTGCCCGTTTAATCGTTTCGGGGTGTCCTCATACATAAGCAGCAGCATCAATAATCCCCGGCACGAGTTCCTCTCTCGTGTGTTAATTTAGTCCTGTAGATCATCTCTTTAATCAGACACCATAAAAAGAAATCAAACGAGGCTAAGTCCGGAGATCGCGGAGACCAAACCAAGTATTTTCGTAATGATGATTCTACTAAGCGTGAAAATCTGATTTATTTTACCAGAACAAATGTCACGCTCACGGTCACCACGGATCTGAACCAACAGATAACTGACAATAGTAGCAACTACAAAATTAATTGTTGTAACATCTTCAACCAGTGTTGCCATCTATCAAAGTACGCACGTGTAGGCATTTCTTGCATGTTGTGAAACATTCTGTAACGATGTATTTCTTTGTACGGCAAAAGAGTTTAAATGGGCAGAGCGCCGGAGAACAACCCGTTTTCACAATACACAATGCCCTTGTGTTTACATTCGACTAACGTTTCGGGCTAAAATATGTTGTTAAATTAAAGAAACTGTTCGGCACAAAATTAACACATTTGTGTTGGAGGTCGACATTAAATCTGCCAGGCTAATTTCACTTTGGTGCCCATCGGTTCACTCCGATTTACTGGAGGCAAAATCAAACATTAACAAATTCCATAAAAACAACTTACTGCGCAAAATTTTTCATGACGCTGAACATGTAAAAACATTTTCCGATTTTGTATGTACTTATTTAGGGGCTCGCCCAGCCTCCTATCCAGTGTGTACCCGGGACACGAAGCTAACCACTCACATCCTTCTAGAGCCGATATTAATAGTGAGTGGAGCTACACCTCCACTCCCACATTAATCTGCATGGCGTAGTGCTTAGATAAGCATCGAGGACAACGTAACCTTAATGTTGCCTCTAGGTGGGCTTGCAGAAATCCCGCTTAAGTTAGGTTAACAGTGTCTTATAAGGCTACGGGGTGGGGTACCTCTACTGTTTATTAACTGTCAGCAATGAAGTTACGACCGAAATGAATTACAAATAACGATGAGGGATGAAAGTTGTTTCAGAGTGAGGTACATCGATAACCTCTTCCATCAGAGAGGGGGGGTTATGGGGTTCATAACCTCAGTTATCTGGGCTCATTTCGTCCACTTCCGGATACAAGTACGTCGTCACTGCGAGAAACGCTGAAGATATTTTTTTCCTTTCAATTGTATGCCTTTGGGACTAGGCAATGCAGCCGAATACTATCATTTACTATTGCACCGAGAAATATAAGCAGGTGAATAGCAGTTCTGTTTTTAGAGGTGGGTTGATGAACTAAAAAGACAACTTCCTGCCAACAGGCGCTGTTCCAAGTGAATGTTTTGATGAAAATCCCTTTGTTTCTCATCATGACGGAACTAGACGACAGAATACCTCAGCAACATAGATTCGACACATCCTACAGCAGAAGGCCGATTTGAAAAGCTGCGAGACGCAAGTGAAATGAAAACGAAAGCATTACTATCTTATTACACAAATTTCTGTAAAGTTTTTAATTATCGTCAATTGTAAGAAATAATAAATGAAGAACGTATGGCATGAATTTTTTTAATTTTTCGTTGGCAGGATGTCAACTAGTCGCTTGTTACTATTTATTACTTCCAACTTCTCAGTATATGGACGTTTGGAAATATTCATCTCTCTTTCAATTTTGGCGGACGATCACAGTGGCCGTGCAGTCAAAGCGAACTGTTTTAAACAGTTCGGAAAATGGAATCGGGGGTTCTAATTCCCTTCGGGTCATCACGGACGTACAATTTGTGTAAAATGAGTGAAGCTCTTAAAACTTTCTAAGACCAAGACCTGAAGTGATTTTAAGTGGTACAGTCATTAACAATTTCCTTGTATTTATCCGCGTGTGGCTTTGCTCCTCCTTCCACTAATTACAAACCGCCTTCAATCACAGGCATCTTCTTAAGGCTGCCACGTTTTGAAAACAGCCCTTTCGAAAGCGTACAAGCACGTTATATAAGTAATCTGAACACTTTAAGAAACAACAACGGTTTGTTTGTCTACAATCAGATTCGAACAAAGAACCTTTAAATCAGAATTCCAACGAACAACAAATCTCGGAAAATAAAATACTCATACCCGCCTCTCTCGTCAATGCAGCATAAATAATACACGAATGATAATAGGCTAATATGGATTCCTTTTTGCTTGTTAACAAAATTTCGTGGACTACTAATAATTACACATTCCCCTTCGAATATGACAAACAACATTTCAGTATCAATTTCTAGTTGCTCTTGCTATGAATTCCACAAGGAAATGTTAAAACGACTGTCTGATATCAAACAGGTCATTAAGTATGTTGACCACGATTACCAAGATCTTTGGACTTCTATTCTAGCATGGGAGGTAACCAGCAAAGCACACAACAAACGAAGAAATATCAGGCTAGAAACAAAAACAGCAGTCTGATACGTAAATTAAAATTTGTTTGGAGAATTTTCATAAATAATATCAAATATTAGATAATCGTGGGCTCTTCTTCGTTCCATACCATCTGCGTTTACAAAAAGTGTAAAAGGGCACGTGACAGAAAAAATTATTCCAAGATAAAAGAGAATGGCAACATTCATTGGTTAAGAATCAATTTTGAATCCGAATAGGCCATCAGGTTTATCAGCTAAAGTTGCGTCAAACACTGCTCTGCAGCGCGGCCGACAGTTCGCGATGTAGGATGCTGACCTGGATGTGTGTGTGTCGTCATCGGGAATTCCAACTCCGCTACTTAAGGGCGAGGTGACTCGTACGTAGGCATTACAGTTCCCAGCTACCATACCATTAACTTGGGCTGAACGATGGTTGCTTGCGTGTTCTTCTCTTGAATTCATAAGTGGGTGTATGGAAGCGTGCGTGCGTGCATGTAAGCATGTATACATGAATGTGATTACGTAAATAAATACATGATAAATCTAACATCTGTGTTGTCCACATGACACTATTAAAATGATAAACAAATACTCATATGAGCGAAGCTTTATCACGTACGAAGGAAACTATGCAATCGAAATTTTACTTCAAAATCACAAAGAAGATAAGGGCCAGAAGGCAGGATAATACTATAATGGATGTTAGTGAAATATGTTGCGAGAATGTAAAGATGGAGCTGGCTCAGAATACAATTCGAAAACTTCATTTTGATCACAGCGATGAATTGTCAAATTCCACGAAACCAAAGAATGTCTCGACAAATTAAATTATTTGAAACCTGTATTCGACCTTGTTCGCCCTATCCAAAGGATACAATAAATAAAAGTTTCCCCTGTCCCTATGTACCATGCTGTGAACGCGTGAAGACTAGATGAAGGAGAGAGGTTAGCTTCACGCTGTAATCGTTTTGTCACCCAAAACACTACCCCGATTCATAATGATGTTACTGTTCTTATTCTTATCTATTTCAAAGCCTCATGCCTCTGGACTCTTGAATTGACTGACTTCAGTCAGACTACGGATGCTCCTTCTTTTTTTACGAGGTGATATCTGACGGAGTAAGAGTACGCCAAGTCTTTTATAGTTTTATCCCAGCAGAGTTTAATTCCTAATATATACTAATAATACTATACTGATCAACACAGCTAACGCGTACTACGGCCCGCCACTGGACACGATCCTGAGGCAGATTCACCCATGCCTCCTCATTACGGACTATCTTAATACCCTCATCGGTGTTCAAAGTCGTTGCTCTCCAATACGTTTCTCTACAGAATTTCTGAGTAGATTTATTTTTTCCCCCACTCGAAAAATGTCTAGGGCACCCGCGGACTGCATCACCTGAACTAGTTCGTTATCTACGTGACGCGTATTACACAGATTCTCACGATAAAAGATACTGAGCAGGAAGTTAAGTTAACAATATTTTGATTCATAAATGAATACGCTGTTTATGGGCTGCAAGATAAGGGTTCAATTCCCGGCAGGGAATTTTCTCTTTATCAAAAAATTCAGACAGACTACTACCCAACTAGGATCGGAAACTTTCTCTGGGAGCAAAGCGTTCTGAGCGCAAAGATGTACCACCTGCTTTAACAATCAGTAACTCAATATTTTATTGGTGGGTTTGTATGATTCTCACTGTAAACAGGGACTATTTCCTTGAACAGCATAAACCACTTCATATTTGTAATGGCGCAGTTTTGTGTTTTCCTTGCGGTACGTACTGAATTCTTAAAAATTTGGACGAGCTTCTGCTTCAAAGAGTTAATTCTCTAAAGCACTGCAGTGAGTTCATTAACTCTGCATTTTCCCACACACAGAACTTTATATTCTATTCGAATATTTCAGTTAGTTCTTACAATAAACAGCTATTGTTTTCGTAAATAATAACTAATTTTTGTAACATATGCCGTTTATGTTCTGGGAGGCAAACACCGAACTGCAAATTGTGACTTGGAACAAGTTAGATGGCTTCATTATTCCGTTTCCGCTGTCTCAGCAAAAAGTACTACAAACAACGAAATTAAAAATACCATCAAGGCCATACTTTACACAGTGACTGTACCAATGTCTCAGAGGTCCTGTGTTCGAGCACGCGTCGCCTACCAGAGGTCAGTCACCCTGCTACCTTGTGCTGCCCTGAAGGTTGCGGTTACCAGTTTCTGTCAGGGTCGTCCTGTAGTCTCAAGGTCGAAGTCATCGTCCCGGAACTGACTCCTCGAGAGAACGGGGGGGGGGCATTACCAGTTGTACTACGGCAGCCAGCTTTTGACTTTTTGGACTTCAAACACACTGCACAGAACGTGAAGAGTAAAATTTGTTCCGGTGCTTAACTAAGCATAACATTATGCAGTCGTACGGGAGAGTGGAGGTGTGGCACCACGCATTCTAACCTCGGCATCTCGACATGATCGTCAACCAGTTTAACCCAACTAAATCCCACAACCATTCTTCCACAAGATAATCTTAATGCTATCATAATTATTTTCTGTCTTCCAACTGACCGCTTTCCAGAGAGCTACTACACCAACACTGTGTATGCAATTCTTGTTTCTCTCATCCAACCTTTATGTCCAGCCCTGACTGTTGTGTACATCATAAATATTGTATGTAATTTCACATAAGACAGATTAAAAAGCTAAAGAATGAGAAATTTCTCACCATGGTGAGATTTCTGGTTGCAAAGTCTGGTATTTTAATATACGAGGTGCGATCGGAAAGTTTCCAGACTGCGCGTAATATCCAGACGTCTTACGTATAATAAAATAATCGAAAAGTAATTTAAAACGTGAAATACAATTCATTTGTTTTAATGTTATAAGGTAGAACGAGTCCATTATTATTAGATCAATAGCACACTTTTGTTTATTACTAATCCAGTTCGTTGTCACATAAGTCCCTCACCAGCAGTACCAGCTGAGAGATGCACATATTTCGTTGTTAACAATGTCTTCCTGTTACCTTATCAAGCGGCGAAACTAACTTAGTATTAATTAGGAACAATTACGGAAACACGGATAGATAAGACTAGTAGATTTCAATTAAAATATGAATTGGCCCATGAATTGGAATTTTAACAACGCACGATATTTTTGTTGCCTACAAAGCTAGGGCGGTACAAAAGTAGTACTGCATATTCCGTGATGCCGATGAGCGGGGCCCCGCGGCCTACCCACCAGGGACGACTACTGCGAAGGGGAGGGGAACTTAACCCCCAGTCACCCCTCTGGCGTCTCCACTGATTATACAAAATTTCGATAAGGGATCCTCAAGGTAATACGTGAGGTGGAACGCACAAAGATGAGAAGATACCAAAAATGATCTTCGAGCAGGAGATGACGCCTACCTGAGTGTTATGTTCGCCGTAGCTCAGGGTGAGTCGAGCCGTGCCCCCGGACCCCTCCTGTATCCGCACTACGGTACTGGGATCCAGTCGCAGAGCCGGGCTCTTCTCCGCGGAGCTCACGAAGTCCTCTGTCCGCATATCCTCCACTCGCCGAAGTTCACCGCTGGCCAACTGTATCAGCGACCCCTTTGTGAAGTTCGTATTTTGGAGGGCTACCGAGCGCCGTTTAGGGATCTCAGGGGGACGAGCCAGAATCCGGTGCTTCAGGGATCCCTCCTTGCCAGGCCGCAGCAGCGATTGGCCTGGCTTCACAGGGGGACTGCATGGCGGCTGTAAGGGGCTGTAAGGCGGCAGCAGTGGGGTGTAGTGCCCCGGATACAGTGCACCGTACGGCCCTCCTGGGTAGTGGTAGCTGGGGGTCGGAGGGTACAAGCCCCGGTACGGACAGTCCTCTTCCTCCTTGCTGACGAGGTTCACTGCCCCCGTGTCAGGCTGGAGCGGAAACTTGCGGGCGGGAGGAGCACGACATCCGTTGAGTGGCTGGACTGACCCGTTGTAGCGCGGGGCCACGAGGGGTGCTGGCTTGGGCAGAGGACGCAGAAACTCTGGAGAAGCCTTGTTGCTGAGCAGGAAGGGCTCCACGAACGTCATTGTTCCGCCAGCCCTTTGAGACACCCCGTGGCCACCCTCCACCGCCACGCTCGCCGAAATCATGGGCTGGCCTGCAAAAACAGGGAGCTGCAATGGTAATATCCGCCTCCTAAGAGGTACTCGGCCTCGATTCTCTAAAATTGAGCCAGGGAGCTCACGACGATGAAACAGCACAACAATCACAGCGAAAAGAAGTACGCGATTGCTGAAGCATATGTAAAGTTTGGAAATAGTGGGAGAAGTAACAGAACAGGCCTGACTAGTATTTTTACACTGCGAGACAAATATCAAGTATTTAAAATGGTCTAAATCCGTAACCAGAAGTGACGGATAATAGTGACCTAAAGGCAAGGTCGGAGTGTTCAAGATGATCGTATTATCCCGGCTAAAATTCTTACTTTCGTGGATCAGTGGTGCTCCATACACTGGAGAACAACAGAACCGATCACAAGACCTCCATTTTTCGTCTGTCGAAGCATTTGCCCGGCTAACGTGAATGCTCTGCCCCTGGACTTTGCTGTTGTGTCACTATAAGTACAGTTCCTCTTTCCACAGATATGCTTGGGGCAGAGGTTTTCAGCCTTTTTCAAACCTGGGGTACTTTGACCCCATAAAATCGACACGCGGGCAGAAAATTTATCAGCTAGGATATTATATTCAGCTTCCAAATCAACTTATTAAAATGTTATGAAATTATTCCTGATGTCACAAACAGGTTCAAGTAAAGAAATAAAAACCACTACAAACAGAAAAGGTAATCTCATGTTCTCACGGCGGTGAGTATGGTGATAAGAGGCAGTAAGCACCTTTGAAACGTCGGTCAAGACGCATCTATATACAGGCCTACCTTATACTGATATCCAATATCTATAAATTCCTTCTTTTGAACTGCAGTAACATTAATCAATTATTATCTTTAACATAATCCGCCATTACAGAGATATTTAATACTACTTTTGTTTAATTGATCTTTCAATTTTAGATGTAATTTCTGATGTGATTCGTATGCATCCGTGTAAGAGTTCATCAGTAAGACTAAGCTATTTTTACTTTAGCAAGTTGAACGGTTGCTCAGGACAGGTAAAATACTGCTAATTACTGACTATATGCAAAGCGTGTTTTCTGATATCAGGCAACCATTTTTCATCATACTGATTTGCACAATTGGTGCAGGACGGCACGTAAAACATTGGACGAAAGCGGGTTCAGAACCCTTGTTCTAAGAGAAATGCAACTTGGAATAGACCTGTCTTTGTTCTAACGTGTTTTCGATTAGACCTCCCCAACAAGAAAGCAAGAGTGCCAACCACCGTTCCCCCACCGAAGGAAGTGAGGAAACTCAGTTTGGCGAGTCGTACACGGCGATGCAGTGAAAAGAGGAAAGAAAAGGTTACTAGCGGCGGGAGAGGTCGGGATTCACCGAAATTTGTCGCAGTGATGAATGAAACAGACGCAGTGCGCAGACTCAGCGATATCGATCAGTCGGCAGTTACACAGCAAGAAGAAAATAAAGATGAAGAAATAAACAAATGCACAAAACAATGAGAGACGAAGGCGGAAAGAAACAATTGGTTACATTCGTACGTTTCTAATATGAATGCGCTGTATCAACTACAGAGTTTATTTGGCTTCAAATGTGCTGTTAGGATGGATGGCTACATTCGATGAACGGGAAAAGAAAAGAAAAGAAAAGCAGTGATTTTGGCCAATTTAAAAGCACACTTTCGCGCAAAGGAGCTGGTGTAAAATCAGAGCAGGCTGTGAACTGAGCCCACGTGCTACCACGCAGTCTACTGTCATGGCAACCATTCAGTGATGCGTAATACACCGACCTACGTGACACGTCACATAATTTTCACACCACCTGATGGATTTAAACGAAATTTGGTACTGGAGTCTAAGCTAACACTGTCTGTCGAAATGAATGCTGGTTTGAATCAGTAAGCTCCAACTTTGCGCAAGATGAAAGATGATTTTTGTCAACTTTTGTTCTAGAAAATGTTTCGATAATGTGAATATATAATGAAATTCAGGTACAAAAATAATGTTATTATGCATCCAAATAATTAGGTTAGTCTGCATTGACATTTTATTAATCTGTACATGGTAGTAACTGTGCTGTTTACTAACTATCAGCAATAAATTAAAATCCAGATCACCGAGGGACATAAAACTGCTTAAAATTCATCTATATTAGACTCACTCTTTCACAGCTCACTCAAAATTACATGTGGTTTATTTAAAAATTAGTGCAGGAACACTTCTGTAAATTGTCATGGTGTTTCTTCTTCAACTCTAACAGAGAGTTTAAGTTCTGACGGAACCGTCATTAAACAATCTACATAGTACATGAAGTCACGCAGAAGAATGTACACAGTAACAAAACAGATTGAACTGGATCGTCCATAACCATGGTAACTATGCATGGAACCACGCAATTGTGTAATGACCAAAATGAAATAAAAGGAAACCTAAATGAACCATTAAGCAGTTGTCATAGAACCTACGACAGTAGAGAGTCACGGAACCGTGCATTTGTCCCCAGTTTACGAGGCTGCGCGCACGTCCTACTGTGTGCTAACAGCGCGACCTTGCCCACAGACAGGCAGACTGACAAATGGCCCGTTTCATGAGGACTTTGCCAAACAAATGTTTATCATTTCGCAAACATCTTAACATATAAATCCTTTTAACTTGGCTACAGATGTGCTGCAGCTTTGGAAACTGGCTAATAATCCCTATAAGCACAACGTCGCCGTTGATAAAGGATACAACACACTCAGCATTCAGCATAAAATATACACGAGGCTTCCAACAGGAACTGGAAGAGGGTAATATCTGAAAACGGGAGCAAATGTAACTTCATGGAACGTACCTTAACAGAAGCCTATTTGCACAGAATCGTGTAGATAAAACTACATCCAATTTACAGTCAGGACAAGGCACTTTGTTCAGTGCAAATTGCATGCTTCAAGGCCACAGCAAATAATGGCAGCTCATAATTCGCAGCGTAGCACAGCTAGTAAAGTTGTACTGTTGACTTAGAGCGAAGTCTTTCCGTTGAAATGAAGCACGTAATTTGGTCACGGCTAAAAAAATATAGAAAAGATATCTGAATGACAGACGATACAAATACAACTCACAGGACACATTGGGTCGATCCTTACACATACACCAAAGCGGAATGTACTAACATTCAAAATGACGTATCGAAAACAGCAGAAAAATCATTATGTAAGCCCAGAGGAAAGTACGACTGCAAACCCATACTTGGTTATACCAGAGACACATCTAGACCAAACAATTAAAGCTAACGGAGCTGAAAGATAAACAATGGCGTACGTGAATTTAAACATACATGCATACTACATGGGATGAAGAGTAGGGAAAAAATATCAGAAACAAAAAGTCCCCTCACACTGGTACATCTTCCGGAATTAGAATTGCAAAAAATCCTTTTTGTCCTTAAAAATTTACGAGGGATATACGCAATATCACATAACTGATTATATCTTGCAAATAAAGTAACAGCGATGCTGCTTTTTTTTTTTACAAATATCCGAAAACATGTAATGAAAAATCAGTGTAAAACTCAGAATGGAAAGTTGAAAATAATTATCTTTACAAAATTAACTGCTGATGAAACTAGCAACTGGTGAAGGAGGTAGTTAGCATATCTGAAACGTCGGCCAATATCTCTTTGACTACACGGCAACATCCCAGAAGACAGCCATATTGACACTCTCCGCCGCGAGAACCCGAAATCTTACCACATTCCTGTAACTTTGTGAAATCAAAAAGAAGCCCCAGCGCCTGAACCCATGACCTTCAACGTCATCAGCGATGAGCTGTCTGCTACCGCATGGCAACTCCGCTATCAGCGGTGTGTGTGTGTGTGTGTGTGTGTCTGGCCAATTGATATTAATCGCTCTGAATGTGTTTGTGCCAATGAAAACTAGTGAAGATGATGGCACTGCTGTTTGTACATTTATATTCCTATAACCTGAGCGTTCCCTCCACTAAACAAATGTATTACGACGAAATCATGTCCGTCCACATGTTTCATCTACAGGCCTACTTACAGACTGAGTGGTCAATTATATTTGTCTCTGTATCTGTCTATAATAAACCCTCTACACACACAGCTCAAAACTAAATATACAAAATTCTTTAAAAAAAAGTTTCTCATACACGATTTTTTTAAGATTGCCTATGACCATCCAAGGAATCCTGCAGCGGTTTAATAAGAATTCAAGAAACCTCTACAGCAGACGTTTTTCAGCATTTTAAGACCTGAGGCCGCATTCACCCTTTCTTATCGACCGACCTCCAGGTTATAAATTATGTAAATTTATAAACAATACAACTAACCTGCTATTGTGAGCAGGTTCACATATTACTCAAAACCTTCCTTTAGAAACTGTTGATTTGTTACTGGAATTAATTCTTGCATTGAATTAAATATTTAATTTACGTGATAACTGATTTTCGTTGTGTAATGCGATATATTATAAAAATGCAAGTTGGCCACATAAAAGACATCGGACTAAATGCGGCCAATGGGCTGTGGGTTGATAACCCTTGCTTTGCCGTAAAGGAGATAATGACTCCACTTTGGCTGTACAGAAAAGAAAGAAAAGATGGTAGACGCCCACGAAGGAGTCATATCACTTATCTTAATAACGGTTTATAGAAAGCGTCTAGAAAAGAGGAGACCAAGGGATCGAATTGAGCCGTAGCGCTCATGTGGAATGCCACTGCGTTGTGGTGCAAATACTTCGTGAATGATTGTGGTAGAGTTTAAACTTTCGGGAGGTTAATTGTGATGCACACAAGGTCGGCACAACAAAATGAAAGTCAACTTTACGGACCAAAAATTTCAAACTTAAACACTGGCAGTGTGTTGGATACCTGGGCAGTCCGCCCATTAATAAAGCTTGCAAACACGCAATAGAACTCTGTCGTCCAAAGCAGGAAAAGGCGATTTGCAACTGTGACAGATGAATGACGATAGTTTCAACTGTTGAAAAAAAGACGCCAGTCATGCGAAACCCCTAACAATATTGTTCAA